AGTTTTTGAGCGTTTTCTTGATTGCAACAGTTTGAATGAGCTGTTCAAGTAGTGCATGTGAAGTAGAGGAGCTCAAATCATTCGAGGCCACGGTGGCAGCAGCAAGGAAAGCATGGAAGAAGAGGAGGGCAGTGCTCTGGGATCTCTGCTTGCCTGGAGATGGCAGAGATATGAGGCCTAGGATTGTAAAATGACATCTGGGTGGTAAAGCAAACAAGTTCCCTGTGTCTAAGTAAAACTAGAAACATTTTCTAGAGGTAAAAATCCACCTTTCCCTGATCTCATGGAAGACACCTGGATTTCTGGGGAGGGGGAAGTGCATTTTTTGCAGCAGTCTAATGCTTTCCTTTGAAAGCCAGGATGGACAACTGTGGCAGTCTTAGGAAATGGCTTGAATAAGCTTTTAAGGAATCTCAGCTGGAATCTGCACTCCCTTCCGTGTCTTTAGTTATTCTCTTTTTAGGTCTTTTCCTTTGTACAAAGTCTCTTATAGAAAAACTTTCCAAGCTATAGGAGCCTAAGATGAACATAGAATATATAGAGACATCAGTCTTTATCCATCAGAAAATCGAAGTAGATAGGTCAAGTAGTTAATTTGCTCCTTCTCAGGGTTTGCCCTCAGCAGAGCAGTGCATCTCCACGTTGGATTCTCTCCATACTAGTCCAAACTTAGCAATTCAGATGACTTTCCTGGGTTTGTGAGCATTTAGCCAGCTTATTGTCCTGTTTCCTTGTTGGACACAGGTGGGAAGGTTGAAGGGAGATTTCTTCCAGGCCCTCTCTTCATTTCAATTCCAGTTCCTGATATATTGCTATAATACAATAAAATTTTTAAATGGCATTTATTATGTCTGACAGTCTAGGTATAGGGTAAGTGAAATTTATTATTCATATTAAATCCAAATTGTTTTTTCACTCTTCAATAAGTTTGACTCCACCACTGCAGCCTTGCCATGGACATGGGCCTGATGAGATGCTTTGTCAGCTGATTTGTTTTATTTTAGCCCTGGGAATTGAGCTGCCACGTGCTGTGTTTTATGTAATAACCAGCATGTGGTTTGGTGAGGAGCTCCCCAGACTGCTCAGGGCTGGGATTTATGCAACATCCCATGGGCACACGTGCTGCTTGTTAATGAGTGTTGGCATGATGACATGCAGGAGTACACTTGGTTTTGGCTGCACCCTGAAATGGATAATCCATTAATTCCAATATTTATACATGGTATGGCCTTTATAAAGCTGCATTCATTCCACAGCTGGATTTAAAACAGAAGTACCACGAAGGGCATATCAGTCCTGCTTTGTGTTTAGATATATGGGGAAGACACTTCAGTCATACCTAAAAGACATTAGAAGTGCTGAGCAACCCTTAATTAAGTTATTTTGGATGTATTCAGGCTGGGCAGTCTGCAAATGCCAGCTGGGCTGGTGTGCCCAGGAGAGAAAGTGGTCACCATGCTTTGAAAGGATCCCCATCCATCTGGTTTTCCTCTGTTCTCCCAATTCCAAGCTGACCAGCTTCAAGTTGATGTTGTGTACACCCTCAGTGATGCTGAATTTACATCAACTTTGGTTTTCTGGTAAAGAGATGAAAACTCCATTAATTTTTAAGCTGAAGCTGTAGCATTCCACTGAAACCCAGATAACATGAGGTCTCCCAGAGTTATTAACCACACAATCCTTGTGCTGGAGCTTTTCTAAGGGGTTTGCCACAAAATGTGGAATGTTTTATGTAAACGAACTGATGAAATTATTTGCTTTGTTTCTGGGGCTCTTCAGGAAAGTGTTTTTAATAAAATCCCCACACCAAGAGGTTCAGTTCTTTTGAGCTGCATGACCTTTCAGTTTCTGGAGCTAAAATATGTGTATTAAATACAAAATATGTAGTTTTCATGGTAAGAAAGATCTAATAAATAGAGAATAGGTAAGTATAGAAAAACACCTGCAAGTGTAGAAGGAGGAATTGAGCCCATTTGTCTGTCTTAACTTCCTGGATGTGTATGGGGAAAATGAGATTTCTACTACAATTTTTCTGTTTCTTCCCTTTCCACAGGCGTCTGATCACAGATTCCAAGGTTAAATTAAAGTACCAGCATTTAATAACCAATAGTTTTGTAGAGGTGAGTTTGTTTTTGTCTCTCATGTGTGCTGAGCCAGAGGAGTCAGGCTTGTTCATAACTGCAGGGCAGATTTTTTTGCCTAGTCTCTAATCAAATGTGACTACAGGGGTTGTTTTGTAGGGGTAATTGTGGGAAAATATTTTAAAAACTTTAGGACGAAAGGCCTAGAGATAAAGAGAATGCAAGAGCTGTATTTTAATATGTAGGTTCTAGAGAGCACTTAATATTTATAGTTCTTGGATGTTACCTGAGCTACTTCACATTGAAAACCAGGAACGCTGTAAATGAGAACATCCCATAAACATTTGAAGTAAAGCTACAGAACTGCTTTTAGCAAAATACTAATAGCTTTGCAACCTCAAAATAAACTTGGAGAAAGGTGCTTGGGAAGATTTTTCCACTGTCCCAATTTCCCAGTTGTATGTGTTCAGATTCACTGCAGACCCCAGTGTGGAAGTTACAGGATCAAGCTTTCACTTCTTGCTCGAAGTGATGTTTGCAGTGATCCTGGTTTTAGTTTTTTTGAATGTTTGAAACCATGGAAAAGGGATGAAGGGCAGGAGGTGTCCTTGTGCAGCTTCCTTTTCTATTATGTTGGGTTTGTTCTTTGCTTGGCAGTGTAATCGACTGTTAAAATGGTGTCCTGCCCCCGACTGCCACCACGTCGTTAAAGTCCAATATCCTGATGCTAAACCCGTTCGCTGCAAATGTGGACGTCAGTTTTGGTAAGAGCAATCGAGTAAAAGACGTCAATGTTGCTTTTTGCTTACTACTTTGAAAGCATATTAGTATGTATTCATGGAATCCCAGAACGGTTTGGGTTGGAAGGGACCTCAAAGGTCTCTCATTCTACTCCTGCCATGGGCAGGGACACCTTCCACTAGCCCAGGTTGCTCCAGGCTCCATTCATCCTGGCTTGGAACACTTCCAGGGATGGAGCAGCCACAACTTCTCAGGGCAACTTGTGCCAGTGCCTCAGCACCCTCAAAGGGAACAATTTCTTCCCAACATCCAATCTAGCCCTGCCCTCTGGCAGTGGGAAGCCACTGCTGCTTGTCCTGTGCTGTTTTGAAATGCCCCTTGAGGGATTTGAGGGTTGGAGAGTGTGTTTAACTTTTAAAATATTTCCTTAAGACTGGCTTTGGTCTTTCGTTAGAATAACCCAGAAGAAAACTTCCCTGATGTTCCCCTAGTTAAATTAAAGTGTAATCATTGCCTTATTTGTTTATTTTCCCCTTTTTTTTCCCTTACAGCTTTAACTGCGGTGAAAACTGGCATGATCCTGTTAAATGCAAGGTGAGCACGTCAAGGTTCTTGCAGTTTTGGCACATCTCTTTAAAAATCATCTTTCGTTAGAATAACCCAGAAGAAAACTTCCCTGATGTTCCCCTAGTTAAATTAAAGTGTAATCATTGCCTTATTTGTTTATTTTCCCCTTTTTTTTCCCTTACAGCTTTAACTGCGGTGAAAACTGGCATGATCCTGTTAAATGCAAGGTGAGCACGTCAAGGTTCTTGCAGTTTTGGCACATCTCTTTAAAAATCATAGAGTCACACCAGACTGGACTGGTTTGGGTTGGAAGGGACCTCAAAGCTCATCCAGCTGCACCCCCTGCCATGAACAGGGACACCTTCCACCAGCCCAGGTTGCTCCAAGCCCTGTCCAACCTGGCCTGGAACACTTCCAGGGGTGGGGCAGCCACAGCTGCTTTGGACAACCTGTGCCAGTGCCTCAGCACCCTCACAGGGAGCATTTTTTTCCCTAATATCTCATCTAACCCTGCCCTCTGTCAGTGTGAAGCTTTTCCCCCCTGTCCTGGCACTCCAGGCCCTTGTAAATAATCTCCATCTTTCTTCTAGGCCCATTCACGTACTTGAAGGTCACCCCAAAGCCAAAATATCCTTATTATTTTAGAGTCCAACATGAAGTTTGTGTTGATTGAACTTAGGAATTGTAAACTCATTGCTGAAGTGTTTGTGCTGTGTGATGATGCTCATAGGATCAGGGCAGTGCTTCAGGAACTGTCTGAAACAAAATTAGTTGCTGTTTGCACAGTTTTCCAGCAGCAACACCGCTCTATTCCCATGTGGTTGTGTGTACCTTTCTTTAGTGTGAGCAGGTGTCTTGGGAACATTTACTGTTTCTCTGTTTAGATTTAACTCTCTTCTTTCCTTTTTTTTCTGACAGTGGTTAAAGAAATGGATTAAGAAGTGTGATGATGACAGTGAAACTTCTAATTGGATTGCAGCCAACACAAAGGTGAGGGGTTTTCTTGTAGTTTATGTATAGGTTTATCAAATGAAAAGGACAGCAGCCTCTGCACTAGGATTATTTTTTCTGTTCCATGTTAAGAGCAAGCCTTAAAATCCACAGCACACTGAAGTGCTCTTGTTTGAAGAGCAAACAGGTGTTACTGCCTGGAATCAGGTGAGTTTCTTTGGGTTTGGTGGAATTTGCTCTTATAGAATTATAGAATATAGAATCAACCGGGTTGGAAGAGACCTCAAAGATCATCAAGTCTAATCCTGCTGTGGTCACTAGACCATGACAGTAAGTGCCACATCCAGTCTCAGCTTGAAAACCTCCAGGGATGGTGAATCTACCACCTCCCTGGGCAGCACATTCCAATGCCTGAGCACACTCTCCATAAAAAATCTCTTCCTAATATCCAACCTAAACCTCCCATGGCAGTGCTTGAGTCTGTGCCCTCTTGTCCTGCTGCTG